TTTTTTTGGAAAAAGTTCTCCCGATTTGTTCCACATAAAAGTTTTGTGGTTCTTGTCTAAACTTTTATATAGGACAACCGGAAGAACTGGTTCCAACCTTTTGGAACGTTTACGAACCAATATATGTGAAAATTTTGGGTAATTGCTCAGTGGAGACATAAATTTGAATTATTTCCCTTTATTGAATTCAGTTAACAACGAGAAAATTGGTAATTAGAACAGATCTTGGAAGTAGATGAAATGATGACACAGGTAAAAATTGTAGGTATTCATTATTCTACGGTCTTATGTGGAAATTTGTTAGATAGAGATAGACAGAGAATTTGTGCAAACAGACTTGTGACGCCGTAGATTCTATTGTATAGCAGAATAAGTGTTTTTGTGAACTTTCAAGTGAAAATATTACATTTAAATGTGTGTTTTGATTACGTAATATTGATTGTCATTTTCGTATATGACTATTCGTAAATATTTTCGGATATTTTGAGAAATGTTTCAGAAAATATGTTTGAAGTATATTTTTATACCTGTTACTACTGATGATAATAAATACAAATTTTCACAATACAAATTGTATTTTCAAAACGAGTTTCACTAGTAACATCCTCAGTGGGACTGGTACTCCAGACTACTTCAACAAATTACCGACCTTAATGAATAGATACTAAGTGGTGATTACTAAACACGCCGTTTAAAGAATAGGTATCCAGCAAGTACAAAGCAGGTAAATCATTGTTTTTTCAAGGACAAAACACAAGCACTACAGGAAAATCCTTGAGGCGCTCTCAGAGCGGTGCCTGTGCACCGTGCCTGTGCACATTGGATTTGAATCGCTGGAGATAAAATCCATTTGGGAAAACGTTCTCAGGAAGTTCATTCCACATAAACGCAGTTCCCCAGATGAAAGAGTTTTAAACAGTGAAGTTCTGCAACTTCAAGGTATGTTGGGGAGTAGAGCACCATAGGTACATGAGAACAATACTCCAAAGAAGGTCTCATTTGAGCTTCATAAAGCATTAAAAGTTGCTGAAGTGTGTACAGTTTCCTGGTTCGGAACAGTGTTTCAAGCTTTTAGGAAGCAGCCTTTGCAATTTCAGCGACATGATTGTGACAAGACATATTTGTGTCCATTTTAACTCTCAACAAACTTATCGAAGCAGAAAGCGGAATTGTCTGACCTGACATTATTATATCCGGTTCGGAGACATTTATCTTCTTGGAGAAAACCGATGCCTGGGTTTTTGTGGCATTGAACTGAAACTGGTTATTTTCACCCCAATTCGAAATCACTTCTAGATCCTCATTAAGAAATGCAACCTCCTGCTGCCGGTGAAGATGTGCCTCCGTAGCCGATGTCCTGAAATCCAAATGGAATGACGAGACAAATGCGCTGTCGTCAGCAAAGCGATATATTGGATTCTTGGTTGTTTTCAATAAGTCGATATACAATCAAAAGTGGGTGGGATCCCTGGGGAACCCGACAGCATTGATAGTGAAAGTATTCAAGAGATATCCATCGACGAACACTTGCAGGAAACGTTCGTTCAGGAAGGTGAAGAGCTATACACAAAAATGATCCGACAAACCATAGCATCGAAGTTTGGCCAACAAACCTTCATGCAACACACACACACCGCCTTAGAAATATCAAACGTAACAGCTATTGATTCTACAAGTTTCTCGATTGCGTTATTCCAAATATGGGTGACATAGGAGAGAAGGTCGCCTGTTAATTTTTGTTTCTGAAAGGACGAAAGCCATATTGATGATCGCTCAAGAAGCCAAATGTTTGAGGATATGGTGGTTTACAACTTTCTATGTGATTTTTGATATCACTGATAGCAAAGCGACTAGTCTATGAAATATTTTTCTTGCCCTTTTTGGGAATAGGCTGAACGCGAGCAATCTTCCAACAAGAAGAATAAACCCATGTTTTGTAAGACAGGTTGAAAAAAACTGGTGCGAGTTCATTTGCACACTTTATCAGTACGATCCGGGCACTTCGTTAGGGCCAGACACCTTGTTGATATTGAGCTGTTTCAAAATTCGCCTGATTAGACGCTGTCGAAAAGTAATTTCTGACACTGTGGATTCTAGTGTGGGGATAGTGAGTGATGCCTTTCCCAGAAAATTGACTATGGAGTGGGATGCCTAATTCAAGTAGATTTTTCATGAAAATAAATTCAACAGGGATGGGGAATTATCTTTTTGTTGGTTTTTCAATAGGAGATTTGATTGTTTACGTTTATTCATCATAGTGTGTCGTAGCTCATGTCAACGTTGACGTTGTTTTCTAACAGATGGCATAAGTTGAATTGGTTCTCTCTAATTTTGAGTTCAGAGATTCTGATTTTGAAATTTCTGTATGTTTTTTCATTATAGATTTTTGGCAACATTTCAGCTTGTAGACGCCTTAATACCTATCTTTTTTGGTTTGGAATTTGTTGTTTTTTATATGTATACCTCAGATATTATCCATCTTGCTTGTTTTATTGATTTTCTTTTTGGCCAGTAGTCTACAGAAAATGCACCAGAAAAGGCAACCTGCTCATAACATGTGGCTCCTGCACGAAAGTTCATATTGGACGGACATCTGGAAATTTCGGAACCAGAATTTTCGAACACAAAAAGAAATTGCATTGAAGGAAGCCAATTCAACCAATGCGTATTATCAGTTGAAAAACAACCACGACTTCAATAACTCCAATATATACTACGATTCACAACACAGATAATTGAAAGGGTATATATTTAGAAGACATTAATTTTTGGGATAAAAAGGTTTTGGCTTTCTTCTTCTTCATCTTGATACAAAAAAAGTGGGAATCTTCCGAAGAAAAGAAAGGAGCAATCAATCTCAAAAATTAACTTACAGAAAAATGTCTCGGAATTAGTCGAATCGTTAATACCAATAATTTCAATGTTTTTTACCTGTTGGATACCTGGTTTTGAAACTACCTGCTTACCAAATATCAATCTCTATTTATATTGTGTTTGTATTGTGGAAATTTGTAATTATTATCATGAATAAAATACGTCTAATTTTGAAATTAATTTTTGTTTTCGTCTCAGAAAAAGTTTGTTGTAGCTTGAAACAAAATCTCTTGCTTGGTAGAAAGTTTTTGTTTGAAATGAATATCATCTAATATGTACATGAAACCGTAAGGAGTAATTGGACTTCGGACAAGAAAGAAATTGTTCTTGTGTTAACTACAGTTTCCCAAGAAACACATGTGTTTCAATAATTCAATCAATATTCGATTTGGTACTTTCGAAGAGGCCTTTTTATTGTACTGAAACATTGGGTTTGTAATTTTGTAGAACTTTAGACTGAATCAATTTTCCTGGTTTATTTTCAATATTCTTTTTCTGGTACTAAACTGAATATTCTTCCTTGGTGTTGTTGATTGAAATGCTATCGGTTAAAGTTCATTGGTATTACTGAAAATGAAAGTCGAAGTGGATCGAGTCAGCTCAACCTCAAGTTGAAAAAAATATAGTTTTAACACCAATTTCTGGAAGTGTGATATTCTAGATGAGATATTGTAGCATTTAAATAACATTAAAGTGAAATTCTATTTGTTTTCCTTTCATGAAATGTGCACTATTCGTTACCAAGAGATTGAATTCAACAGTATAAAATTTAGAGCTTTATTTGTGAATTGATACAGTGTTTACCTTGATGAATCTACTTCCTAGTAGCACAGTGTTATGATAACTTAAAATAAGACCAAAATTCAGTTTTCAATTCTTCAATTGAATTATATACTACAGCTTACCGGTTGTCTCCTGAAAGTACACATAAATTTAGTTTTCTGTCTAAACCGTTTTCTGTAATGAAAAGAAATAGTTTTATAATTCAATCGTTATTTCCTTCATTTGATGATTTTTTTTAGTGCTATACTATCTCACTCCCCTGATATATTATACCATGTATATATTTGTTTATTACTTTGTATACTGAATCTCAAGTAATCTTTCCGGAGTGATGTTCATTGTTTACATTTCATTCACAGGTTATTTACTTTCAAGGTTGACCCAATGTAGATGACATCAATGAAATCATGCAATCCCGTTCATCCAATGTTTATAGCACAGCTTACTTACTATAGTAAGCTGTGTTTATAGTGCGACCTTTACGTCTTTACAACCTTGTACTAATATGCAATGTTCATTGCCCTCTTTTTCTGACATGTATTGAAGAGAGACGGATATTACACTTTTGTGCGGTGGGCAAAGTTTCACACTGAAGCTGAAGGTTCTAGAGTTCTGGTTAGTTTTTTTGTTCAATAAAAAACCGTTGAAGATTGCCATTTTTGTGAGATTGTAGACAAAGGGGATTAGACGAGACTATCTATTGAATGCGTCGATTTTCGTCCGCTTTCCCTTTTTTAAAAATGTTCAGTTTTCTTGGCGGCAAGTTAAAAACTCAACATGTTTTGAAAAAATGAGGGGCCCATCGTGTATATGTTGAACAAATCAGTTTTGAACAACTATTCTTTTTTATAGCAAAAAACTTAGGGGCCCCCACTTCTTTATTGCTCCAGGGCCTCCAGAATTCCAAATCCGACCCTGTCTGTAGAAGGTGAATATTGTTTGAAAATTGGGAGTATTGAAAGTATTGCATGGATATAGATGTACTCGGAATATTAATTACGAATAATTTCAAATAATTTCATTTGAAAAAATGGATCAGTTTATTTGATTTGCAGTTCAAATAGAGAGAAAAGCAAAATTTCAAAGTTTTATTTTTTGACATTTTCTCTAGTGGCTCACCATTATATTTAGTCACACATAAAAATTTCTCAGCCCCGATATTTCGTGCAAATCACATGAAACAAACAAAATTATGAACAAAAATCTTGCGAATCTGAATATTATTACTCTGAATATCATTTCTATTATTACTTGGTGTGTCGAAGTTGAATACGGATATATTTTTTCGTGCTTCACGGAAGCGTTACTTATAAATAACTGATATGCCTTCAAATACTTTCCAGAATTGGGAGTTTCAATGGTATACAAATAATAGGAGCAACAGCTTTGTGCATAATGGAGTACTTCATATTAGACCAACCCTTCTAGCTGACGATTATGGCAACGATTTTCTATATAGCGGGACAATTGGCATACCAGAGTAAGGCCATATCACTATAATATGTAGGATATATGTTTTTATGGAACTATGATTAGAATTAGAATTATGTGTGAGAATATAAGTAGATTTTATGAAAATATTTCAACATTCGATAGGAAAAATATGGAATCTGATCTTAACATTACAGTCAAACATAGAAAGGTGGCATTTCCAGTTATCAATACCAAAATGAACGAACACATGCAATACAGGAAACACGTGAAGAATAAATAACATTTTTTTTGGTTTATAATCTTTCACAATCTGAAAAAATTAAAACTGAGTCAATAATAATGACTAATTTGACTTTGTAGTAGTTTATATTATGCAGTAACTTTTCGGGTGAATTTTTCAGTTAGCCCTTTACCACACTTCCGCAGATTATCTGTTGATTCAGTTTTTATTTTTCCAGATTGCGGAAGGTTATAAACCCAAAAAATTGTATAAAATACTCAGTACTCTCTTCACATATTTTACGTGATAGAAACTCTTATTTCAGATGTACCAACGCAGATAACTCAGGTTGCAGACGTACTGGCACTGCAACAAATATACTCAATCCGATAAAAAGTGCCCGTCTTCGAAGCCTAAATTCATTTTCATTCAAATATGGCAAAGTGGAAGTTCGAGCCAAACTACCTGTTGGAGACTGGTTATGGCCAGGTAAGGTTTATTTAAAATCTCAAAGATCTGAGTATACCAAATACTACCATATCACTCCAGAAATCGATCACTTGTATAAATTCGAAAGTTTTATTTCCTCTCTGACATGAGTTACCGAAATCAAATATTCTCTGTCGAAAATTCGAACAACCACAAAAAATTGATTATGAAATCAATATGAAAAAAAAATGACACGCTGAGTTGATATAGACGACATTTTGTGTTACGCTGTTTTTATTTGTTATAATTTTGATGATGGAGATGCATCTTCTTTACTTAGAGCTTCGTTCACGAGATGGAGCTGTTACTGATTCATTGTGTTAAACCATTTTCACAAACGAAAGTTTCATATATGCAGTATGACAACATACGACTGATATTGACCTATTTTGATTTCTCTTACAGAAAGTGAATGTTTTCCAACTGGTATATGTCAAAATCTACTTCATAAAGTAGCCAGTTTTTTTTTTATTTTGAATAAAGTGACAGTTTTTTTACTAAACTTTCTCTCTTTGATATGATCATCTAGACTGTTGATTGCTCTGCGAAATGAATTCAGTTATAATGGAGCTGTTGATATTTTTGTGCATGGAGAGGGCTTCATACGGTAGATTGCTCCAAAAGTCAAACTGTTAGTATCTGGTCAATTTTCCTCATGTGATGAGAATTATCTTACTATTTCTCAGAGCTGTGGTAAACTGTTGGTATCATTTCATCTATATCAATATTGTCTGTTGATTATATTTTGAATCAACATCCAGGCTTCCATAAATCACACTTGAAATATTCGTCATACTTGTTACATTCTCGTCAATGATTCTGATGATATCATATTGGTTTTCTAATTTGTTCAAACATTTCGCAAAATAATTAATTCTCTTTGTTGAATCAAACGTGCAGAAAATATTACCTGATGAATATTGAAGAAACATTGGTTGTAGGAACTAGTAGGATTGTGAATACCATATTTCAAACCGAAGATGAACTATGAATTTTCACAATGAAAAAATTAATTTCATTACAAGTCACATTATGTTTTGCCTGTTACGTTTTCAAAGTTCTAGTTTATGCTGATACTCGGAAAATCAATGTCTATGGGAAAATCACGTTTAATTCTCAAAATCACTCTCTTCTGTTGCAGCCATATGGATGTTACCAACACGTTGGGTCTACTCCTCGTGGCCGACATCTGGTGAGGTTGATATAATGGAGTCCCGTGGAAATAAGCGATTGAAGAATTTCCAGGGCGTCAACATTGGAGTTGAACAAATTGGCAGTACTCTTCACTGGGGACCAAACCCTGCCAACAACAAGTTTTCATTGACCCATTATGAGAAAAATAATCCAGCAGGCTATGAATCAGATTTCCATAACTATCAAGTCGAGTGGACACAGGATCAAATCACCTTCTCAGTAGATGGTAAAGCAATAGGTACTGTCAGGCCACCTAATGGTGGTTTCTGGGAGCTGGGGGGGCTCGATGCTTCTGGTCTGAAAAATCCATGGGCGGGACATTCAAAGATGGCTCCCTTCGACGAGGAGTTTCATATCCTAATCAATCTTGCTATTGGTGGAGTGACATATTTTCCGGATGATGCTATAAACCCTGGAGGCAAACCTTGGAACAATAAATCTCCCAAAGCAGCCACTGACTTCTGGGAAGGCCGAAACCAATGGTTACCCACGTGGAATAGAAATTCTGATGACTCGCATTTGAAAGTAGATTATGTGAAAGTGTGGGCTTTATGAAGAAGTTCTATTGTTCTAATGAATTGTTATTCTGTATTCTTCTTCTTTTATTTTCAAGACCACTATCCAAGGTTTGTTTGAATATTCTGAAATAATAAAAATATACCAAAATCTCTTGAGTATTTCGGGTGTTGACTGATATATTTGAGGAAGGATTTGGTTTTTGTCTCAGAGAATACGTCCATAGCTTGATCTCACAATTTAAAGTTTCCATTACTGCGAACAGTTCATAATAGAAACAGAAATTTAGTATGAGAAAGCACCCCGAATAATTTTGTCTTATCGTGAAACGTCGAAATAATTCCGAAATGAAGTTTTCATGACTTTTTGCTCTGAAACTTCAAAAATGTCCATCATATATCATTCAATTTTCATCAACTGATAATTCGCTAGTGAGCGGAAGTTTTGAGAATGGTTAACTGAAAATCTATGAACGAGAAACTATTTTTGGAACACTTTCATTTATCCAAAAAAATATTCACTCATAGGTTTTTTGTTATCAAACGGTTTTATTCAGCTTGCCTGTTTGTTTGTTTGGGTAAAATTTAGATATTGAAGTTTGTCTCCCTTCCTGTTGACAGACTTATCTGATATTTGGCACACACATTTTGTTTCGATGAAAATATAAATCAATAAATTTCGTATCATTGTAAATGGGGAATGTTCCTCAATTTGGGTTATTGAAGCAAATGCAAGTTTGAACAAAACGAAGTTGAGTTCAATTCAAATTCACTTCAAAAAGTATTCAAATTGATGTTTCAAATGTTGGGTTTCAATTTTTAAAGGGATTTGTTTCTAATTCACATATTGGCAACAGCGCCTAGAATGCTAGATCGCAGTTCAGGTTAGTAGTATGCTAGAAGAAGAAGAATCATGTCAATAGTATTAAATTAAGGAAAAGTATAAATTATAGTTCGATACCATCTCCATAAGCCACATAAACAACAGTTGTTTTGTTATTTATTTATATAGAGGAAGATAGGTTAGGTGCACAAAATGTCATATGTCACAGAATTACTCGGATCTCGGAACTTTAGTAAACAGAACAGCACGTCTCTGAAATATGTCATCTTTGTTTGTCTCATTCAGGTAACAGATTCATTGTCCTTTATAAGCTATAACCGATGTTGCCAAATGGTGAAATAGAAACGAATCCCTTTAAATGTTGAATGCAATATTTCATTTCTGTTTTTTAAGTATTTAAATAATTTTTTAAAGAAAAAGGTTGAAATGATAAGTTTAAAATGCGTTGTTTTAGAGCTGTTTTATGAAAACTACTTGATTTTCGTCAGGAGGAACATTTCCCATTCTAGATGGCCGTAACTACCTCAATATGTAGAACACTAGTACACTTCAAAAAAGATACAAATTCAAGATGGCTGCAGTTGAACTATTTTCATAATTGCCGTTTATGAATATTCAAAATTCTGAGAAAGCACACTCAAAATATTTCAATTAATATTCAGAAAAGTATATACTGATAACAAAAAACCATGAATTCATAGCCAACACTCCTCTATGATAGTGCAAAGCCACAGTTTTTATCAACATGAATAATTTTTTAAATTTTTTGAATATTATCAAGTTGTAGTAGCAATTTGCCGATTCTAATAATAACCAACATAAATATTCTATGCTGAGGTTGAATTCTGTGAACATGCAAAGTGGAAAAGTGTGATTTCTTATCAAAAAAAAGTTGAAATATTTATACCTGAATGACATGAATCCATAGAATTATTCCAAAATGACATGAATATTTTTGTCAAATTCCCAACCTTTCTTTGTTGTGAGAGAATCTCAAAGATGTTCTTCCGATAAAGAAACATGAAAATTCAGAGCAGTTTTTTCCATAATTACTTCGAAATGAGCTTTCCCTTCATTCCCTCACACACCTGAACTATTTTTTAAGGACAAAACATAAGCACTACCGCTCTAAAAGCGGTGACTGTGCGAAAATAGTGATTCACATTAGATTTGAATCGCTGAAAATTAAATCCATTTGGAAAAATGCTGTCAGGAAGTTTATTCCACATAAACGCAGTTCTCAAAATGAAAAAGTTCTCAAACAGTGAAGCTGGACCTCAACCACAGTCCGTCGCGTATTTCTGATATGTACCGCTCTTGGTGGAATCAAATGCGGCAAGTCATTTGAACATTTCCCGTCAAAGTATCTATAGGAGAGAGACAAATCCCCAAACTTTGTTCAATGTTCCAGACTATCAAGGTTGCACATGATCGCGTCTCCAGTCAGGTGCATGGCTATTTTCTGGATGAAATCCATCAGCTTCATGGTATGCTGAGATGCATGAGAACAATACTTTAAAGAAGATCTGATCTGAGCTTTATAAAGCATCAAAAGTTGCTGAGATGTGTAGAGTTTTCTGGTCTGGTGTTCCAAGCTTTTGAGAAGCAGCCTTTGCAATTAAAGCTACATTTGCAATTCCAGCTACATTGTGCCAAGTCATATTGTGTCCATTTTAATCCCCAACAAACCTATCGAAGCAGAAATCAAATTGTATGGCCTGATATTATTATATCCGGTTCGGAGACATTTAACTTCTTGAAGAATACCGATACCTAGGTTTTTTTGGTATTGAATTGAATCCGGTTACTTTCACCCCAGTTCGAAATTACTTCTAGATCCTCATTAAGATACGCAACCTCCTGCTGCTGGAATGACGGGACAGGTGTGCTGTCGTCAGCAAAGCAATATATCAGATTCTTGGTTTTATCCAATAAGTCGTTGATATACAATAAAAAGAGCATGGAAGACAATATGGTTCCCTAGGGAACACCAGCGTTGATGGTAAGTTTTCGAGAGGAAACATTCTTTCAGGAAGCTGAAGAGCCACACACAAAAATTTAGCCAGCAAACCCTCATGCAAACACACGGTCAAAAGCCTTAGAAATGACTTGAATCTCCATGTTTCTCGTTTGCGTTATTCCAAATATAGGTGACATACGATAGAAGGTCACCTGTTGATCTTTGTATCCGAAAGCCATATTGATGATCTCTCAAGATGTTGAAGCCTTCCTTATATTTAAGGATATGGTGTTTTACGACTTTCTCTATGATTTTTAAATTCACTGATAGCTAAGCGACTGGTCTATAGTTATTTGGAAGATTTTTCTTGCCCTTTTTGGGAATAGACTGAATGTGAGCAATCTACCAACAAGAAGGAAAAACCCCTTTCTTGTAAGACAGGTTGAACTGCGCTGAAGACGCTCTGTAACTAAACAATTTGGCGTGAACATGAAATGAAAAAAACTTTCAATTCACATTTTTTTTCACTTTTTATGCATTTGTCCTATATTCATCCATGTACTGTTTGTATTCAATCGAGAAACCAGCGTCATTTGTGCCATAATTTTGTGAAAAACTCTTTGTATATTTTCGCTCTCATTGAAGGTAAGAGACGCAGTTCAATTTGCATACCGAAATAGAGTCTCACACAAACATCATTCAACCTCAAAATTCCTGCTGAGAATTGAAGAATATAAATTACACCTTTCATAGTTGTAGGTCATAATGCGTTAGTTGTGAATAAAAATGTTTTTATTTCAGAAGATGTTGAATGTGACAAGGCCAAATCTTATTTGAATAATCACTTCTGATTTGAAACAACTTTTCCAATACATATTGGTGAAATCGACGATATCCCATAGTGAGAATAAAATCGTATCCGACCACAGTATCATTTGTTCCGTAAATGATTCGGTTGGTAGCCAAGCGGTTCGACGTGGGTACTTTGTTCACTCAGTCAATCGACCAATGTGTTTGTCGATGGTTCAAGCCTCAGGCTGAACATTTCAGAAAGTTATAATGCCGCTGAGCACCATGCAGTAACCGTGGTCTCTTTCTGATCGGTTTTCGTATCTGGGAAATACCTGGGTGGTTCATTGGTATCCAATCACTGTCCTAAACGTCTCCTTTTTCGTAGATGATCCACTTTTCATCACACATAACGATCCAATCCAAAAAAATCTTTTTGGTTGCGCAAAACCAAAAAAGAATAGACCTCGGAACGTGACAATTTCTGTTGATCGTTTACATAGTGAGGCACCCACTTTTCGAGCTTTTTGACCTTTCCAATACGTTTTAAACCATCAAAAAACACATGGAAGCTGGCGCCCAGTTCTTCCACTATCGCATGCACCATTTGTGATGGGTCAGTCTCCACCAGGGTCCTCAAACCCTCGTCCTAGATAACTGTAAGTACACCAATTCAGGAATATTTAAGGCTGAAATCTCCGGAACGAAATTTCGCAAACAAACGTCGAAACCAACACTATCTTACTGTCTTTGCCAAATACCTGGTTAGTTTTTCGGGCTGCTTCGGTAGCGCTTTGGTTCAATTTGAATTTATAGAGAAAATGGGCCGAAAATCGCCTAAAGGCATCATATGATTAGTTATAAGCTGAGACAATATATTTCAACGACACCAGACGACATGAAGTTATTCGTTCTCCTATGAGATCAACCTCAACTGACATTCACAGAGCAACCGTAAATAGATTAAGTTCGTAGATGGCCCAGAATGGAATTTCGTTCACTTGTGAATTTGAGTTTTTTCAAATTATTTGATTTCTTTTGGTTTTTCCAGCATTCAATTAAAATTGATTCAATCGATTTATTCATTCATGATAAAATAATATAGATCTGAAAAAATCGACCTTCTAATAATGATAATGATTCAAAAAGACCAGAATGAGCCAATGCATAAGGTCTTTTTCAATAACATTGAAGACCTAGGCTTATCAAAGCGCCTGACTTTCGCTTTCCTCAGGTCGAGTGGGCTTAAGTCGAAGACTGAGGGGTTCATCATGGCTTGCCAGAATGGTGTCTTCAACACCTTAGTCTACCGCATTCGCGTATAGGGGGGTTCCTTACACAAGGTGCAGGACCTGCCGCGAGGCGTCCAAGACCCTAATGCACTTGCTATCAGCTTATCCAGCATATGCGGTCTCTGCCTATATCCATCAACATAACGCGGCCCTTAGAGTGCTATATTACCATATACGGCATTCTTACGGTA